GTAAATATCAAAATGTTTTTGTATGCATTGCATATGTGTTGTACGTATATTGTGTGCATTGGAAGTCTACCAGCTACGTAAATTTGTATACTAAATTACAAACACTTTGCGTTTTGTTTATCTTTCTGAGAAAGTAGAGGCACCAGCACTTGTTTATATGTCATCAGAAAGGAGTTATCATAGAAACGTAGTCCCAGTTCCCGAAGTTCTGTGTTTATTCTTCTGATACTAATCTGCATATCCGTCCGATAGGAAGCGACTATCTCCATTCTAGCCAATCTACAAGGGACCATTCGTTTCTCTCCATCCTTTGCCACTGTGCAGTAGGTTGGGCAGTACTTATCGCGATTTTTCAGTGTCTCAGAACCGCCTAGAAATAGTTTTAATATACACGGAGAAACAAATACTAGGGTGCCTTTTGGAAAACGATTTGGCATGTTTGGTGACTGTTTATTTGATACTTTTTCATTGTTAATTGTTGCTGTACACATGGGGATACAGAATCCCAGAGCGCCTTTTGGAAATTGTACTTTCTGATTGTTATTTTGATGGAACGAATTTATTCGCCATTTATTAACGGCGTTAACTATTTATAAAATGAATTGTAGCGACGAAAGTATATATGTTTGCTCCCAATTCATTTACTGGTTTCTCTCGTGAAACGGGCCCGTTGGCTGATAATGCGGCTGCATTATCAGAAGAGGAAAGTAAGGGGAACTTCCTTCCTAGAGACGGTTGTATTTGCGCAGAAACGAACTCGTAGCCTCCGTGTACGTTTTTACAAAGTACAGTTGCGTCAAGGATCGGATCACCGATATAATTATCCGCAGGACATTGCGGCTACGGGGTCCGTGTTCCTCGAGTAAATTATTTAAGTACAAATTCAGCTATTTCAATTTTTAGTATATAATTTTTAAATAGTATCTCAGGAGGATCCAGCGAAAGAAAACTTAATCTGGGCCACGAGGATTCGAACTCGGGACCCTCGAATTAGGAGCCAATGCTTTTCCCAACTGGACCATACTGTTTTAGAAATTGATCTTGCTAAATCCGTGATTTTACGAATGTACACTGTAGACTATACATTGATGCTTGCTACTTCAAATAATATTTGTAGCTATTACAATAACAATAGCTCTGTCAGATATTTTTAAATTGAACAAAGTTCAATAAAAAAAAAAGACTCAGAAAGATGCGATTCATGTACTTCATACTTTTCCCTTTTTCTGTTCCTAGATTCAGCGGCTCGGAGGCCGGATATAACAGCGGAAACTGAGGAGATTATAAAAAACGAAGGCGAACCGTTGGACGTGGTTTGTTCTGGAAACACGAAGATCTTCTTTATTTATCCTACAAACACGGACGCGGTGAGTAGTCGAATATTAATTAATTGTAAGATCGAAACATTTTTACGTATCGTGACTCATTTTAAACGGCAGATCGTCACCTCCGACCCGGAGATAAACGAATACGAAGAGGAGGATGGCACCTACAGGTACGAGTTTCGACGACCACATACTGTTTACGGAGACACCGGTTGGTACGGTTGCGCTGACCGTCCCGTCGAAGTCACCACGGATTCCTATGCTGACCCAGATATCAACTGGGTTTACGTTTACGTACAGTGTAAGCCATTATTTCCAAACGGAATTGATAGGTCGAAGCTGTAGCTACACTTGTGTACTTGATATAGATTGCCAGTAGCGCGGAAACTGATTTTTAATTAATTTAGAAAAAAGGAGAAAGATACTCAATTCCAACATGTATATATATATATAGCTGTAGCTACACTTGTATACTTGATATAGATTGCCAGTAGCGCGGAAACTGATTTTTAATTAGTTTAGAAAAAGGAGAAAGTTACTCAATTCCAACATGTATATATATATATATAGCTGTAGCTACACTTGTATACTTGATATAGATTGCCAGTAGCGCGGGAACTGATTTTTAATTAATTTAGAAAAAGGAGAAAGTTACTCAATTCCAACATGTATATATATAT